AAAAAAAAGTGAAAAAATATTGCTTTTTTAGCTCTAATTTGGTTTCAACTGTTTTTTTTTTCTTGTTTATCAAATGAACTTAATATCTGCGCAAATTTATAGCAGTTTTTTTATGTGCCATATTAACAATTTTATTTCCTTCTAGTACTGCTTCCTTGTCGTCGTCGTCGTCGTCATCGTATGCTTATTGTTTGCTGCAGAAAAGGACGCCATATCGTGATGTTGGTAAAGGGGAAATACCGATTGGAATTGGAAAAGGTGGAGGCTGAAGTGGAAGAGAGAAGAAACGCTGTGGGGGTGGATTTTTTTCAGCTAGAATCTGAAACTATGTACCCAATTGGCACCATTTTTATTTGTTATAAAACATCACTTTAAAAGGCAATAGGATAGGCACATGCATATTTGATAAGGTTAAAATTCTGTATTTTTGCTGATATCTAAAAAAATGAAGAAATGTTAGTTTTCTTGGTTTGTCTTCAGTATCTTCTCTTTTCGTCACTATGTTTAAGTCATTTTTGTATTTCAAAAAGTAGAAAGAAGTTTATTTTATGAGTTTCACCTCTTTTTTCCTTTTACATATAGACAAAGATAGGTTTTTGTTTGGGAGGGAGGAAAAAAAGGATTATTCTGTAAATTTCTTCATTATTTCTTTTGATTACTTTCTTGAGTTTAGCGATCAAATTTTTTTTTTGCTTCGTTATGGTGGTGGTCAACGATTAATCGGTCATAAGGCATTTTACGATGAAATGTTAATCTGCAATAATTTATTTTTGCTTTTCTTTTATCTTTTTTTTCATTTTTTGTCTATTTCAATGTTGCTACAGTTTTTTTTGTTGTTTTTGTCTTTTTGAAATTATTACCATCATTTTTCTCATTTATTTTTTGCTTTCTTCTTTTTTTATCTTTGTTTTTACCACTGGTAATAACCGTAAAGAACAAAAGAAATGGGTTATTTTGTAGTTGTCATTTCGTTTTCGGAAGGTGTTATGCCGACGGTTATTCGGTAGATCAGAGGTTGGAGGAAAGTAAGGAGGGCTTTTAGAGGCATCAAACAACAAGAATTTTTGCTTATTACCAATTTAGTAAAGTTTTTTTTTAAATGCAACTTATTTACATCTTTTCAACTGTTGATGTAAACATGGAAAGTATATCTGTTGTTTCTTTTATCGGTTCGATTTGAATTTTGATTGGTGAAAAAGAGAAAAAAGAAAAAAGAAAGAAGAAAAGGACTTTTTTTTGTTCTGAAGACTTTTCAAAATTAAAGGTGAGGTTTTGTTGCTAAGTTGTGATCTTAACAACATTTATTTTTATCGTCTGTTGTTGTTCACTGTTTATTGCTGAAATGTCAGTGAACAGTTACGTTTTGACCGTTC